CTGCAATTTCTGGTCTCCTGGAGCTCTATAGCACTTCTGTCTGTCTGTTTCTCTTTTTTTTTTTTTGGCGGGGGGTGTGGTACTGGGGATTGAATTCAAGACTTGCATGGTAAGCAAGGGCTCTACCACTGAACTACATCCTCAGTCCTTTAAATACACACACACACACACACACACACACACACACGCATAGATGTATATAGGCATATGTCTGAGAGAGCACAGGGGGTGGTGGTACAGTCCCCAGGACTTACGAGATGGCTTTATCTTGCATTAGAAGATGAACTAAGCTGGGGTGGGATATGACAGAGGGGGCTGCTTATAACGTTTTATGTGGTAGTCATAACGACGTGTTTTAAAACACCCGGAAATAAATGGTTTACTGCTTGAAAACGTAAGAAGAAAGAGCCTCTGGGCTGCTGCCTGGCCACTCTGGCGGGGAGTGCMGGCTGCTGTGTCACTGACTCCCTTTAGAGCTGTGTTCTGTGCTGAGGGTGGCCCCGGGCCTCACACGTGCCCTGTAAGCGCTCTGCCACTGGTCAGTGTCCCCACCCCCTATCATTAGTCTTCTACTGCATAGCAACTCAAATAGTGTAGAAGTTTCTGAAATTACAATGAACGTACCCCCTGTCTTCACCCCCCGCACGTGCACATGAGGACACACACGCCGTTATGCCAGGGAGGGTCCTTTTCTTTGTCTTGTTCATTTGGTTTGGTTTGGTTTGGGCTTTGGTACTGGGGCTTGTTCCCAGGGTGCTTTAACACTGAGCTCCCCCCACAGCCTTTTCTGGTTTTGGTGCTGGAGATTGAACTCAGGGGCACTCCACCCCTGAGCCAGATCCCCAGCCCTTTTTTGTATTTTGTTTATTTTTTGTCTCACTGAGTTGCTTAGTGCCTCACAGTTGCTGAGACAATTCTGTTGTCTCAGCCTCCTAAGCCACTGGGATCACAGCCCAGCCCCACGATCTTTTCTATGTATTATTTTGAAACAGGTCTCACTAAGTTGCTGAGGCTGGCCTCAAACTTAGGATTCACCTGCCTCGATTTCCCAAATAACAGTGTGAGCACTGTGCCCAACTTTAGATTCTTTTTTTTTCCTTTCTTTTTTTGGGTAGTGGAGAGTTAGCCCAGCAGTGCTCTGCCACTGAGTTTACATTCCCAGCTTTTTGTTTTTATTTTGAGACAGGGTCTGACCCTGTCTAGCCTCAAACTTGCCATCCTCCTGCCTCAGCCTCCTGAGAAGCTGGCATTATAGGCRTGTGCCACTGTAGCCAATAAGGATCCTTTTCTTGATAAACGTCTGTCTGTGTTCTGGTATTGTTCCCCCACCCAGTGAGGTGTCCCTGCTTAGCCTTCTGTTAGTGCTGGGGAAGCTCCTTCCTCTGTGTCTTCCTCAGAGTGCCGCCAGGGCCATGGTTTGCAGACCTTCCTGGTGTCACCCTCACCAGAGTGTGGGCGTGTGAGGCCTGGAGTTCTGCCTAAGTATCTTTTTCCCCCTGGGACTGGGGGTGGAACCCAGGCTTCTCGCATGCTAGGCAGGCACTCTGCCATGAGCTTGGACTCCTTTTGTTTTACACAAGGCTCCTGTGATGATTCAGATGGAGCAGTGGGGTTAAGAATTGTTTATCTAGTGAGTAATCCAGCAATAAAAACATGAACCCAAGGTGCAYCTTTGAGGATTATTTTTGGTAGGTGCTTTAGGAGAGATTAACGCGCCTGTCAGTTTTATAGAAACACGCTGTACTTAGATGATCTCTTTTATTCCAGGAATTTCACAGAACTTTTTACTTTGGGTTATTTTCAGCATTTGAGTTCATCTCTAAATAGTCAACATAGAGCTGCCATCGGAGTCTGTGAGAAAGTGATCTTGGGTTTTTTTTGTTTTTGTTTTTGTTTTTGTTTTTTTTGTTTTTGTTTTTGTTTTTTTAATGCTAGGACAAACTTGTCTTACAAGGTTTCGCCATTTTTACCTTGAAAATGGGCATATGGGCAGCTTCTCACTCTTTTTTTTTAATATTTATTTTTTTTTAGTTTTAGATGGACACAGTATCTTTATTTTATTTTTATGTGGTGCTGAAGATCGAACCCAGKGCCTCATGTATGCTAGGTGAGCGCGCTACCACTGAGCCACCACCCAGCCCACATTCTCACTCTTGAGATGGCCTACATTCTCTCTTGAATGTGTCTCAGCTTCCCTGAGTAAATCTCTATGCTTCTAAAAACAAAAACAACAACAAAAAAGGAAAAATAGAGTGGGTGTATGTAGAAGAATGACAGGTATTGCATCTTCCATGCCAGGCAGAGTACCTTGTGCAAAAATTTCTTCCCCCAGATTCCTGTAGACTTCTTAGTTTATCTGCGATGCAAGTGAGGAACTCGAGTGACTCATATAATGATAGACTAATTTCCTCTCTTTTGTGTGCATGGGCGCTTGTGGGGGTTAAACCCAGGGGTGCTTTACCACTGAGTTATATATCCCCAGCCCTTTTTATTTTTTATTTTGAGGCACAATATCACCAAGTTGCCTGGACTGACCTTGAACTTGTGATCCTCCTATCTCAGCCTCCYGAGTCACTGGGATCACAGGTGTACAACACCATGGCCAGCCAAKTTTTTATTCTTATTTTTTCAGATATAAAACTTGCTGAGCTCCATGAAAACCATTTAGAGACACAATGAATAATATTCAGTTTCTCTAGAATTATAAGCCTGAGTAGTCTTTCTCCTGTCTAAATTTAAATTTATGTTAAACTTTACTTTCTCTCTTCTAGGTATCCTCATGGGAGCAGTTATAAAAATTATAGAGTTTAAAAAACTGGCAAATTGGAAGGTAAGTTTGCCTAACTGTTCTTTTTGTAATATGATCACAGTTTCTGGTTGTTTTTAGTATCATTAATGCTTATTCTAGTTTTCTTATGAACTGGATTGTCACTGAAGTTATTTATATTGTTCCATGAACTTTTTTTTTTTTTTTTTTTTGGCATGGGGACCAAATCCAGGGTCTTGTGCTGGATAGTGCTCTACCAGTGAGCTTCAGTCCCAGCTCCCTATTCATTTTTTTGTAAGATTCAGGTTGATTCCTTTACACCTGAATTTTTAGAAAATGCATAAATCTCGCACCGTCTGGCTGTCAGTTTGTTGTTACTTGCCTTTTGATAATCCTACACTAACTGACTTCATGGGGAAGACTACTCAGCATTAAGCCTGAACAGGGAGCGTTCTACTCGCACTCTGCCAGCTGAGGGTGATGAGGTGATGAAGGGTACTTGTCCAGCACTGTGGAGCTTAGAGCACTTGATACACTTCAGCTCCTGTGGTCCTTGAAACAGCCGCTTGACAAGCCAGTGACCAGTCATTATCATTGCCACCTCCTTACACATGAAGGAGGTTGGGTCATGGCCAGCGCTGGCAGGGCTAGAGAGGAAGTGGCTGAACTGAGTCTTGGTTCAGACCCTGAGCCCTGTATATTCAGTATTCTCTCCACTATTCCTGGTTCTTCAGTTCGCTGATGTACATCCCCTCGTGTTTACAGGTGGTTATTAGGGTATAGGCATCATTTGAAGTACAAGGACCAGCTGAAACTTGAATTTCAACTTAAACTTGAGCATCCTTATTGAGTAGAAAGTGTGTGGGAAGGTTCTAGGCTGGACAGGTGGGGCGGCGTCCTGGAGGAGCCGGCATCTGTGGAGAGCTGAGTTGGAAGCCGGACAGCCTTCTGGAAACCGGATGCACAGGGAGCATTGTGCGAGAAGAACGGTGAAGGAGCCTGATGGTTTCCTTCCACAGAGTCCTGTTTGTAAACTGTCCTGCTGAATCTGCTGCTTTCTGCCTGTATTATCACATGYTTAATATTTTCCTTTTTTTTAAATCCAGAGCCTCATGTATGCTGGGCAAATTCTCTATCACTGGGCTACACCCTTGGCCGATATTTTTGTTGATATCAGCTTACTTTTTAACTTATGTATATTTTTGGCAGTTTAAAAAAATGTTTCATGGTACAACATGCATAAAATTTATATTTTAGCCATTTTTTAGCAGATAATTCTGTGACATTAAATACATTCACAGTGTTGTATGCCCATCCCCCTATGTATTTTGACAACTTTKTCATCATTCCAAACAAAAACTGTCTTCTCGAAGCCACATCTCTGTCCCCCTCCCCGTAGCCTGTGTGCCCTGTATTCATGTGGTCATGCAACATCTGCCCTTCCGTATCTGGCTTATTTTCGTTAACATGGTGCGTCCAGGGTGCATTCATGTGCTTGCATCTCTCAGAAATTCATTCCTTTCTATGGCTGAATAACCCTCACTTCTGTTACCCCTTCCTCTGGGGGTGGAGTCCGGTTCTTTCCACCTTTTGGCTACTTTAATTCTGCTGCTCTGGTGAGCAGCTCTAAGTGTATCCAACTTATTTTATGGCAGTGCCGGGGATGGAACCCAGGGCCTCCTGCCTGCTAGGAGAGAGCCACCCGGAGCTCCTTATCACCCCCAGCTCCTTTCACAGTTATTTGGAAGGACACAAGCTAACATTAGGTGGGTTTTTGTTTTGGTTTGGTGCTAGGGATGCAACCCAGGGCCTCACTCAAGCGCAGCCTGTCCTCTGTGGCTGAACTGCACCCCAGCCCCTAGTGCTGTTTTGTAAATAAATGGGGTAAAAGTGAAGTAGGACAGGTGCCTGCTGACGCCTGGGCTCAGGCCTGCTCCCTCTGTCCAGGGGGCAGCCCAGTGGAGTGAGACTGTCGCCATGGCGATGCCAAACGTTGGGGCCAAACTTTTGAGGTTGGAAAAGAATGGCAAGGGGCTGACTTCTGTCCGTGGGGGAGTAGATTTGACACCATTGCTCGATGGCACCCGAAACCACCTCAGACCATTTCCAGGGAGAAATTGTGGAAGGAGCCTGGCCGTCTGAGGAGGGGTGTTCGTGTCCCCATTCCCCACCACAGGGGTGGCTTGAGCTACAGGTTTGTCCCTCACAGTCTGGGCCCCAGGCACCCCGTGGCTTGTGGCTGTGAGCTCTGTCTCTGCCTCTGTCTTCCTGTGGCCTTCTGTGCCTGTCCTTTCCTGGCTCCTGCAGTTTGGCTGCACTTGGGCCCTCCCTCAGGGCGGGAACCCTTCTCAGTTCTCCCCTTACCTCTGGCCTGTCCTTACACCAGCCTGTTTCCCACTGAGAGCAGCCTGGGGGCCGTGGGGGGCAGGCAGGGGAGCTGTGCGGGCTCCCTGAAGGCGCGCTCCTTTGTCCCGGGGTGTAGGTTTTGAACCTCCGAAGGAGCTGCCAGGGCCTGACTGCGCAGATCCTAGCGGCCACCACGAAGGCAGCGCTCAGCCCGTTTCTTTTGTGTGTGCCTGGAGGAGTCGCCACGCTGCAGAGGGGTTATTTTCAGACTCAGTAGGGCATTTCAGAGTCCTCATTTGCTTCTATTTTGAGCCTTTTTTGAATGCTATTTTAGTCTTTATGATAGCAGCTACATTTGTAAGAATACAGTTAGTCATTCTTTTGACTTAGGATTTTGACAAGAAATCAACTGTCAGGATCGTGACATGGAAACATTCAGAGGGAGGGAGGCTGGTTTTGCAGTATTGAGTAGCCTGGGGACTGCATGCAGCCATTTGGGGTTTATTGTTTTTCCCTAAATCCCAATAAAATTAGGCAGATTAATGCAGAGATGGAATTCTTACGACCTCATCTCCCAGCAGACACGGATCCTGGAGCCATAGCACTTCATATTCAAGWCTGGAAGCCTGGCAAGGGGCTTGTGTCACAGCCACCTCCCAGGCACCCAGTGTGACACAGGAATAGAGCAGGTGCTTGTGGTSGGAGGAGGCCGAGCTGCCGCCATGTTGCAGTCTGGCCCTCCCGAGCAGGCTTCTCAGGCCCACCGCCGCCCTGTTCCCAAGGTCCCAGTTTGTGCACTCGATTTTGAAAGCTTTCTATCTGAATTTAAATTGTGTATATTAAAATTAATTTTCCTTCCTTCCAAGGAGTAAGCTTAGCACACCAGTAAGTGTTTGGTAGCAGTTCATTGTGCTGTTTCTTTTGCTGGTCACCCTTTACAATTGCTTGTCCTACATTTGAGAATGCAGATGACTAATTTACTTTCGGTCTCTCCTTCAGCTTGGTTTTAGTATCAGGGAGACACTCGAACCTCAGACATCTCCCCTCTGCCAGACCCTGGGAGAAGAATGGATTTCTTGSTTATACAAATCTCTTTTTATATTTTTAGGAAGAAGAAATGTTTCGACCTAATATGTTTTTCCTCCTCCTGCTGCCGCCTATCATCTTTGAGTCTGGATACTCCTTGCACAAGGTGAGACCTGACCTGCGTTAGCTGCTGGTATCTGGACGCAACTTGTCTCTCTGGGACCAGTTCCTRAAAATCTTGGGGTTAACAGAAGAGTAAAAGATGTGATTTCACAGGACAGCTCTGCCACTTGCTGACTGTTACCTTAACAAAGCCATTCAACTTCCTGACTCTTGGTATTTTCAGCTATCAAGAGAAAATAGTGGGGCTGGGGTTGTGGCTCAGTGGTAAAGTGTTTTCCTAGCATGCATGAGGCACTGGGTTCGATTCTCAGCACCATATCCAAATATTTAAAAAACAAATAAAGATCCATYAACAACTAAAAAATATCTTAAAAAAAAAAAAGAAAATAGTAATTCCTACTATATAGGTATGGTGAGATTTAAATGGCTATATGTGTAATACGTATATCACAGTGTTGTCATATACCTAACCTTTATCAGGTGCTTATAATATACCAATGGCTATTTTACCTCTGTATTAGCACCCATCCAGGCTCCCTAGATCTGTAGTGCATTGTGATTTCTTTTGCCTGGGCTTGAATCCCAGCTCTGTCACTCAATAACTGAGAGATCATAGGCGACTTACATGGCCTCTCTTTCAGATTCCTCTTCTCTCAAGTGGAAAGATGACTCTTGCTTTGTTCTAACAATTGTAACAAAATTTAAGGAAAATTATAGCTATAAAATTACCCCTTGTTCTTCTAAACATTCTTCAAAAACAACTGCTAGTTGGATAAATATTGAATCCCAACGCTCAGTGACAATTGTGGAGACTCAACCTTCTCTGATACTGATATTGGAAGAGATTGTTTTATTGTGAGTAGCAAAAGAATAAAATCCGGCTCTGTTGTGCATGTTCAGCTGACATAACAATATCCTCAGGTGCGTCTTCAAAAGAGCTTGGGGGTTAATTTTAGCAGTGGTGGCTCCCTGACCCTGTAGTTGCCCCAGGGAAGCCAGAAAAGAGCAGATCTTAATTGGCTGCTCTGAAGTTTCAGGTAGAGTGGCCTGTTGAGCTAGTGTTTCCACGGGGGTACTTTGCCCAGGAAGATGGTCAGACAGGGCCTTGCTAAATTCGTGAGTCTGGCTTTGAACTTGTGATCCTCTTGCCTCAGCCTCCCAAGCCGCTGGGATTATAGGCGTGTTCCAAAGTGATTTTAAGAGGCACATGGACAGTTATTTTATATACTTGTATTTATATAAAAGTATACATCTTTATTTTGTTTATTTTATGTGGTGCTGAGGATCAAACCCAGTGCCTCCCATGTGCAAGGCAAGCGCTCTGCCACTGAGCCACAACCCCAGCCCGGACAGTTACTTTGGATTCCTCTTGTTAGACACAGACTAACACATGTTATGAGGCCAGACTGTGTCCTGGGATGAGGAACATGTGCCCAGGCCTGTGGCTTTTCACCTTGTGGGACCTTTTTCCTTTCTCAGGCCCATCTTTCCTGCCTCTCCTCTTAGTGCCCSTCTGTGGGCCTCCACCCCCAGTTGACAAGTCCCTTWCCCCACTCCCTCCCTCTCCCTGGTCCCGCTCCTGACTGGCTGGAGGCCTGTCCTTCCCCTTGGCTTCCAGCTGCGCATCCTGCCCATTCTGTGTTTGGAGACCACCCCTGCCGGGGCTCTGCTTGTCCTGGCCTTGCTGCTGTCCGCCCTCTGATGCCTGGTGCAACACTTTCTTGTCCTCTTTTTAAAAATCTGTGTAGGGCTAGATTTTTCTTCCTTTGAGTTTTCCTTAAATATAAAGGTATTTAAGTTTTAAAATAAGTCGATTCAGCTTGAGGTATTTGTAATGCAGTAGGTATTTTGTGAATGTGATAACAAACTGAAGGCTGGACGGACCAGGGCTAGCTAGACCAACCTGGGGGAGAGGAGGGAGCCAGAGATGCAGCTCTGCTCTTGTGCTGCCCCCTACAGGTTTCTTGTTAGGAGATAGGAATTAAAACAACCCCCATCCCCAAACCCAAAACCCTCTTCCATTGTGTGTTTGAGATGTACATTCCATGAAAGGATGTGGGTGAATTACTGCCCCCACATTAAGTAGACTGCTGCTGCTTCTTGATATTGATAATGTTATTTCCTCATATTAATGATATTTATGTCATTACCAGGAATAATAATGACTTATTAAACTTAAAGATA